CAGAAGGCGGACGCCCTCTCCCGCCAGTTCACACATTCAGCGCCCAAGTCCGAGCCGGCGCCCATACTCCCGGAGCACCGTTTTGTGGCCCACCTTGGGTGGTCGTTGGAGGAGGCCATCCAAAACGCCCTCCGGGATGACCCAGTGCCGCCAGAGACCCCCGCCGGTCGGCTCTACGTCCCCACGGCCTGTCGCAGTGAGGCGTTGGCCTGGGCCCACTCATCACGCCTGTCTGGTCATGCGGGCTTCTCTCGGACTCTCAAGTTCCTGAAACGGGCTCTCTGGTGGCCACGTATGGAGAGGGATGTTAAGGAATTCACGAGCGCCTGTGACGTCTGCGCCCACTCTAAGGCATCCACCCAGGCTCCGATTGGCACCCTCAGACCTCTTCTGGTGCCCAGCCGCCCCTGGTCCCATGTGGGGCTGGACTTCGTCACAGGTCTCCCGCCGGTCAACGACCTCAACACCATCCTTACGGTCACTGACCGGTTTTCCAAGGATGTTCACTTCATCGCCCTCCCGGGCCTCCCCTCGGCCCGACACACTGTTGAACTTTTTCTGGAGAACGTAGTGCATCTCCACGGGTTCCCAGTCGACGTGGTCTCAGATCGTGGCCCACAGTTCACGGCCCGTTTCTGGAAGGCCTTCTGCCATCTAGTGGGAGCTTCTGTCAGCCTGTCTTCGGGCTATCACCCACAGACCAACGGTCAATCGGAGCGGGGGAACCAACAGTTGGGCCGGTACCTCCGCTGCTTTGTCTCGGCCCAGCCCTCGCAGTGGCCTAAGTACCTACTCTGGGCGGAACTGTCTCATAATCTCCACACCTCCTCGGCCACTCAGATGTCCCCTTTCGAGGTCTGCTACGGCTACCAGCCCCCAGTCTTTGCCCACCAAGAACCCAAAGTCGCGGTGCCGGCCACTCAATCCCTGGTGAGGAGCTGCAAGAACGCATGGATCAAGGCGTGGGCCTCCATTACCCGGGCCAATGCCTATTACTCACACCAACACCTCCGCAGGCACCACCCGGGTCCCTCCTATGCTCCAGTGCACAAGGTCTGGGTGTCCACGGCAGGCCTCCGTGTCCGCGCCGGTTCCAGGAAGCTCACTCCGCAGTTCCTCGGGCCCTACCCCGTGCAGAAGGTCATCAACCCGGTCACGTACCGGCTGCGGCTGCCTACAAGCCTTCACGTCCATCCCACCTTCCACACCTCCCGGCTCAAGCCTTACGTGGAATCCTCCCTCCTGCCGCCTCAGGCTCCAGCGCCTCCGCCGGCCCGCTTCCTCGATGGTGAGCCCATCGACACCATCCGGCGCATTCTGGACGCTCGCCGCCCTGGACCGGGGGGCCCTGTCAGAGTCCAAGCCCCCAGGCCGGGCTCTCCCAGCTGACCGGCTTCCGTCTTGGACCACATTACCCAGCATGCCCCTCGCGGGGATTCCCTCCACGTTGCACCTGCGTCAATCCATGTCTATATATGGAAGACGCCACACCAGCTCTTCACTCAGTCATCGTTCCACAGTGATCCATGATCAGAGTATTCCGAAGCTAATGCAGCTAAACCTCTACCTTTCCTCCTCAGACCTCATGCAACCATCAGCCTTTCCAGCATTGCTTTCAGCCAGCAGTCTGTAATAAAAGCTCTTACTCCCGAACCCAGTCTTCGAGTCTGACACTATGTACTTCTCCTGCATCAAACTGCTAGATACGTTTCTTTGTTTTTTGTTTCTTTGCTTCACATTCGTCTACTTTCACTCATTACTTTTGCATGTTTTACTCAGACAAAGTGACTGGAGTTCTTAAAGGGAGACTATGCAATCTTGGCTTACTTCTAGCACCCCCTAGTGTCTGCTTGTTGAACGGAAATAAAAACTTATCTCCTTGCTGTGAGCTCATCTTTTTAACACCCTAAGCTTATTTTACAATTCTCCGTCTGCATCGGGATGTACACACGCAATGCGTCGACGCAAGAGCCTCTGACGGGCTGGCGGAAAAAGACGGAGCCATGCCCCAAATTAAACTATCCATCGAAAGAAATGGAGACTACAAGGTTGTGATTGGTCAGGACGCTGCTTCCTGTTTTCATTCGTCAACAGCATTGTCTTTACCGCATCAAAAAACAAAGAGATAAGTAGCGGCAGACGCGGAACAGAGCGAAGAACACATCGTGGAAAAAGTCTAAAAATATGAATGTTTATTCACCCATGACTCAAGGAGTACAAACAATATACAGCAAGCATTTTATCTGTGGATGGAAAAGAGGAAAAACGTGGGTGTAGAGATGCCGATCACATGAAGAGGTGAGGAGGAATGTGTCAGAACCCAAGTCCCCAAACCAGCCTCTCCCAGCTAGCCGATCTCCACCATGGACCACATCTCCCAGCATGCCCCTCGTGGGGATTCCCTCCACGTCACACCTGCATCACTAACCGTGACTATATACGGAAGTCGCCTCCCCAGCTCACCACTCAGTCATCGTTTCTTCAGATCCATGATCAGAGTTTCCAATCAACCGATCCATCTTACGAACTATCCGCTCACAGTAAGTGTTCTTACTTACTTCTGGAAAACCCAGCATTTCCGTGTCACTTCATTGACGCTCGAACGCTCGGGGATTCCTAGATTAAATCGTGAGCCGGCGTTTCACCGACGCTATCACGTCTGCGTGCGTCTGTGAAACCACGCTCTCTACAAGCTCAACTCCCGAATCCAGCTGACCAGCCTAACAGAATGAGGGACAAATTTGTCCATAATCAAAAGTCTCTGAAATACATTCAACAATATCAACACAATAGTAAATACACTATCATGGACCAGATACGTGACTGTAATGGTGGCAGGATACCTCGGAATAGCGCTACGCCCTCTGTTGTCCTGGCGGGGAATTGTTTTGCAACAATCACCTACTGACGGAGAAGTCTGAAAGCAAAACGCCTCTTTCAATGCGTGTGCATCTCTCCTTCGCAAAGCTGGCGGAGAAGAATAAATTAGTCTAACAGCTGAAATGTCTCTCCAGGCTTCTGTAGTGTCTACAGGAATGAATCATCACTAAATTACCCAAATCAGCTGTGTTCATGATCTAAAACATGCAGTAAACAGGCTGGAACCAGAATGCAGCGCCAGCCATTTAAGCTCAGTTTTTCCCAAGTCCCAACAGGAGCGGCCCGCCACTCTGAAGTTGCAAGTGGAATATTCTGGCCACAGGGGGTGGTAGAGGCTGAGTGGCCTTTCATTAACCCTGGAAAGGGTCATTTTAGCGCAAACTGGCTCAAGAAAATTATTTAAAAATATGAAAAAGTTGCAAAGTGTGGCTTTAAAGGGGCCAAAAGAGCATGCTTTTTATCATTCTCGTTGACTAACTGTATTATCCTCTTATCTGTTTGATGCAACAGATTTGAATGAGAATCAACACCAACATGTTTCTCTGTAAATCCCTGCCACATTCTGATCCTCTTCCTCTTCACTGATGCCAACCCATTGTCATCCTTCTCTTATGTTTAGCATTGGGCTCAGACTTCACACTTCAAAAAACAATTCACCATTGATCTCCATCCAGTATGTGTGATCCTGTGGTGTTTACGAGTGCATAGTGGTTCTTGCACAGATGCATCTGCCAACCACATGTTCTCAACAACCACCCCAGTAAATAACTCTGCACATTTGGACAGTATCCTTCTGTTATTAAAAAGCAACAATTAGATTATTATTTTGTTTCTGTGAAAGAACTTAACTGTAAATTCAAAGTTACATAATGCATCTCCCTGAGAATGTGTGTCTTTATGGGATGTTTAAAATTTGAGTTTCATTCAGCTTCATATTCCCATAATGTTCCCAAAACTAAGATACAATTGTGACTCCATTTAACCTATTTGAATTAAAGGATTTTAAATCCATTTCTCAATACTCCAAATACTCCATGCTGTGCAGACCAATCAGGACCCTGATGCTGTTCAATGCGATGTTTAGTAGTAATTGTAACATTTTTAAAACATTTCTAAAAAATAGCTTCACATAGTTCTGAAGCTCACTCAGAACTTTGCAGGTAAAGAAGTAAAACACTGACAGTGTGACACATGCACAGAATCACTGCTGACTACACGGCTACATCTGTAAGTTACGCTTCTATGAGCTGCAGCTTAGAAAAGTTTGCAGCTGCACTCCCAAAATAGTTAAGTGAAAAATGAAGCATAGGTGATGCAGTCTGGGCTTGGACACCTCTCTGGTAAACAGAGGTGCCAAGAAGAGTCAAGAGCTGGCAGGAGCAGGGTGACGTCGGTCTGTGGACAACACTAGAGTTAGTCAGACATTATGAGCTGGTTCTCGAAGGAGTGATTTATGGTTGTTTCATTTCCACAAGTGAGAACTCAGGTGGGCACTCGGCTCCTTCCATCAGCGCCGTCACGTATCCAGAAATGAGTCGTACCTAACTGAGGTGCCGCCTTACGAGCAAAACAAGACTGCAAGTCATGAGTGGATGTCAAGACGTCTGATCGTTTTGCTTTTTGCTCCATGAAAAGTAAAAATGTGACTTACAGTGAATAAAAAGGCCACATCTGCAGACAGTTTGAAGAGAATATCAAGTGCAGGAAATAGTTTTTCCTCAATCTAAAACATAACATTTCATATCAGCTAAATGGCTTTGTGAAAAGCAAATGCAGCAAGTTTCTTTTTGTGAAAAGTAATTTCAGTCCCACCTGACTATACAACCATTTTTGCAGCATTTGACCAGCTGACCTGTTCACCATGAGACCTCTCCACATTTTCCTCTTTGCTTTTTTTACGCCCTCATCTTTTCAACTTGCAATTCTTAGTTTTCACTTTCAAACATCATCTCCACTTCTCATCAATCACTGTGTCATTAAAATGAAGGGGATGTGGTTTAAGGATTTATTTTTCTGCCAACACATGTGGTCCAGTAATCAGAGTCATACTCATTCTGAAATAACATAACACCAAGAGACAGACTGTATTTAAAGGATCAGATGTCTCATTCGGGACTTAC